GAGTGGTACAAAAGGAACTCTCCTATACCATTTGCTCTTCTTGGCTCCTGATGAGTTGGCTGCTGACTCATGGCAAACTCACTCAAAACGGAACACAACGTTCTGGCCAGTATTCCATCATTTGTAGATCAGACCCTTTTGAGTCACAGGTTCTCATGGATTTTCAGAAGCAGATTGGCAGGCCTTTCTTCCTAATTTATCTTAGTCTAGAAGTTCCACTGAAGCCTGTTCAGCACCACAGCATTACACAGCATCCACTAACATATGGGAGGTGCACATGAGGTTCACTAAATGGGAATTGAACCTGGCTCTCCCACATACACTGCTTATAAGCATAAATTGGTACAAATGCTCAGGAACAGAGTTCAACAGAATCTTCTATAGCTGGGTAAATGAATAGTAATTCTATTCGTAGGTAGAAATGCATGTGCTAATCATGAAACAAGTACTAATATGTTCTTAGCAGTAATATCTATAAGTGGCACAAACTTGAAAATATTCAAATGCCCTTAAACAGTGGAACAGATATATAAATTAAATACTCACATAAAGGAATACTATCAGCAATGAAAATGATCTATGATTACATGTATCATCAAGGGCAGAACAGACCAGACCCTAAAACAGTATGTTGTTGTTAAATGCCATTGAGTTGATTCCAACTCATGCTACCCTGTACAGGGTTTCAAAGAAGCAGCTGGTGGGTTTGAACTGCTGACCTTATGGTTTGCAGTCCAGTGCCTATCCTACAACACCACACCAGGATTCCATATGCAATAATTCCATTTATATAAAAATAAGCAAAATTAACTATCCCATAGGAAATTGTTTACCCTCAAGGAAAGGTGAGTAGGTAATGACTGGTAGAGCGTCAGTCAAATGTCCGGTTGCTTGATCTATGTGTTAGACACGGGATAAGTTTCTGGAAATTTATCAAGGTGAAAAAGATTTACTACAGAATTAATTTAATGAAGCAAAAATGATCTGAATTATTTTTATTGTGGTGAAATATTTTTAACAAACATTTGCCATTTCAGTTACTTTTCTGTGTGCAATTCAAGGACATTCATTGCATTCCCATATTGTGTAACTGTCATCACTATCTATTTCTAAATTTCTTCTTAACACAGTACCACTAAGCAGTAACTGTACATTCCATCCTCCCACCTACCCTTATTATTTATTTTAGATATTTTATATAGGTGGTTAATACCAAATATTTGTCCTTTTGCATCTGATTTAACTGAGTATAATGTTTTCAAGGATCATTCATAAAACAACTGGAATTTGATGTTTAAGAAATTACAAGTACGGGCTAACATTAAAAACTTTAACACTGGTTTAAAATATAGGTGTCACGGACTGAATTACGTCCCACAAAAAGCTATGTTTCATTTATAATCCCTTATATCTGTGAATGTGACATTATTTAGAGATAGGGTCTTTGCAGATATAATAAAGTAACTAACATAAGTGCAAAATGAAGTAGGGTAGGTCCTACTCCAATATGACTGGCTTCCTTATTAAAAAAGACACACAAAGATAGAGTGAAGACAGAGGCAGAGACTGGAGTTACAAGCAAAGTACAGTTTAGCATTGCTGGTCATTACTAGAAACCAGGAGAGAGGCATTGAATAGATTCTCTCTTAGAAGGAATTAATCTTACTGATAACTATATTAAGGAGCTCTGGTAGCATAGTGGTTACGAATCGGGCTGCTAACTTCAAGGTCGGCAGTTCGAAACTACCAGCCATTCAGTAGAAGAAAGATGAGGCTTTCTGCTCCCGTAAAGATTTACAGCCAAAGAAACCCTGTGCATGCAGGGTTACTATGAGTTGGAACCGACTCCACGGTACTTAACAACATACCTATATTTAATTCTTCTGGCCTCCATATATGTGAGAAGTTAAATTTGATGTTTTAAGTCACCCAGTTTGTGGTACTCTGTAACAACAGTCCTAGATTATATAAGATGTAAACCACTATCACTTTCTTTTGGAACCCCTAAAAGCTATACTGAATTTATAATCCTTTATACCTGTGAATATGACATTATTTAGATACTTACAGTAAATTTAGCTCTTTCTTCCATCACCTCATAACCCAGTATAGTTGGTGTTGATGGTCTATCTTCCCAGTTGACCATTTCAGGATTTTGTTCTTCATTTTCTCTTGGTCTAGCAGAATACTCAATGGAAGAATCTGTCCCTGTAAATTTAGTCCTAATGAGGGGACTGCAACAGACAGATGAAGTACTATCCATTTGATCAGGCATATTTGTCTGTTTATAATTACCTATATTTGAGTCTTCTAACTGGCCTTTGGAAGAGTTTGAACTTGTTGAGATACTCCCAAAGGAAGAACTTCTTTGGTTTCTGTTGGTTGTAAAACTGGAGGCAGAGTTTCCTATGGGCATAGGAACTGGGACATAAGGAGTTGCCATCTTCTTTTGGCCTTAGCAACAAAGATCTGTACAGCTGGTCCAAACACTTATAGAACAACCAATATGCAATCCATTTTTTTTTTCTTCTTAGGAATTCACAATCTACAAATGAAAGGATCATATTGAAAAATTAGTCTTTAATATGGAGCATGATCCAAAAAGAAAGTATCCACAACTACTTATTTAAAATTTTGTAACACTTTCATTCCTTTTGGAAAGAGACATGTCAAGCTCCTTCTTTTAACCCAAAATACCAATTCTAAGGACTCCTATTTCTATGGTAATGAAACAAGAACTATTCCATACCTTTTTATAGTCCCTCATGTACATCCTATCCTTTTTTTCTATTTCCTTACGAAAAAATTTTCTAATGTTCATTGTTGCCTAATTTTATTTATACAAGGAAAGTCAAAAAGTATTGCTACTAGGGTTCCAGTTCAAACATGGATGGGTTTATTTAAAAAAA